AAGCTTGGCCACTAACATTCCGGACATCTTGCTTCATGATGTCATTCTTCACCATGACGCACCTTGACAGCTGCCAACCGATTGTGGTCGCCCATTCTTTCAAAAGTCATGAAGGACATCCTTTGCTGATGTTCGAAGTGTCACAAGCTCACTACGGCCTACCACCCGCAAAAAAATGGTTTTACCGAACCCCTCAATCGAACTTTGACAGCAAGGTTCTCCATGTACGTTTCCGAAAATCCCCTTGATTGGAATAGTACTTTGCCTTACATAATGCTTGCATACAATTCGTCACACCCTCACACCACTGGCTTTTCCCCCTTTTATTATTGTTTGGCCGCCATCCAGTGTTGCCCTTCGAGACTCTTCTCCCATCAACTATGCAAACGGTGACATAGTACGCCCGGCATGCCAATGCTCGAGCTCAAGTGGCCCCCCCCAAATCACACGGAAACGTCTTTTTGGCTCTCAGCTGTCTCAAAAAGGCCACTAGGATAGCCATAACAGAGTAGTTTCCTACTCTCCAGGTTCATTGGTCTTCTTCTGAACACTATGTTGCCATATTAGCCGTTCTTCGAAGCTTTAATTTCGCTACTCCGTGCCTTACAAGGCTTTACGTCGCCTTACTGAGGTCAATGAAAACGCTCCGTTGGACAGTCATTCGTCGTCTGCACCCCTTACTGACGTCGTGCACATCTCCCGTCTCAAACCATACATCTCCGTGCATGACTTGTCTGTTCTTTAGGCACTGAGATGGCGCTACTGGCGGTGGAGGGATATATGTTACACGGCATTAGGAACGAGAAAGCATCAGACAGACAATGAATGATCGCCGTCATGTTGCTGTTCCTCCATCCTGCCTGCAGCTGCCTCTGACTCTCCCTGTATATTTTCTTAATAAACTAAGGCACGTTGCCGGGCTAGTTGGTAGGTGTTCATAATTTATAAGGGTATAGCGCACCATGACAAGGACACAAAAACAGAGATGCACACACACACAGCGCTAACTTGCAACAAATGTTTTATTTGCGATCACACATGCTATTTATACAGCAACATTAGACCAATAAAACCTGGAACATATCATGTTAACATACAGCACGCCTCATGCAAGCGTCATTATCGATTGCGACAATCCGCACTTGCCCATGTCAAAGTCAAGATTCCAGATACTTCTTTTCTTTAGCTGACAAAGCTATCAAAGCCACACTCACACAATTTTTCGTCATTTTGTCAATTTCAAGGGCTTCAATGATTTCAAGCGTAGTTCTGTCACGGGCCCTAAAGAGAACACAGGGACACAAACACATCTTTGACGATGAAGGGCCAAATGACCAGATACAGCTTTTTCTGCGTTGTACTTGTGTTTCCTAAGTTTTTCCTTCACACACCTTCCAGATTGGCCAATGTACACGCAATAACAAGTCAAAGGAGTGCCATGAACAACACTACGACAACAATTCATAAATTTTTCCCGGGGCCTAATCTTACACTCCCGTTTCCCGCAGCTGTCTGCATTAACTTTTTTTGCACATTCTTCGCAACCATTCAGGAGCAGAAAACACTACATCCGCACCCGCATTTCTCGCTATCCTTCGCAAGTTATGCAAAATGTAATGCATGTAGGGCACCACAGCAACCTTGGCTGCCTTAGTGGCGGCTGCCTGGTCTCGAACGTCTGCCCTTTCTTTCTTTCTTATATTTTCGGCGACGGCGGTTAACAGGTGCATGGGGTAACCAGTATCCAATACATGTTTAGCTTAAGCCCACAAGCTTGCATCAAGCTTGTGGTGGCACGACTTCACCAGTGAGTTTTGAAAACAGGAATCTATCATTGCACGCTTTACCAATTTTGAGTGAGCTGGTGTGAATGGAAGAACCGGTTTATTTCCTCGCGCTTCATAGCTCCAGCATACTCCTGCTGGCGAAAAATACAGCCAGAGGTCAAGGAATCTGATGAAATGGTCATTTGGTATTTCATGCATCAGCACCAAGGGAGATAACACTGTCAAGAGCATGGTTAGAGTTTCTGTCACCACCGCGTCAAAATTGTTATGATCATTATTGGCAATGATCAGATAGTCGTATACAAATCTAAAAACAGCATTCACATCAGTGTGCTTCATACGCACGTAAAGGACCTTATTACGCTTTGCTAAAAACAGGTCGCTCAAGTACGGCGCTACGCAGAAACATATACATATCCCCTTCTTTTGTTTCACAGTGTTCCCATTCCACGTTGCATAGGTCGAGTTAAGATAAAAATAAAGGAACTCTAAAACTGTTCACTAGATACACCGGCAGTATTTTGAAATTGAACCGCTCCTACTCTGTCGATGCCTTCCGACACATACATCATCAACTTGGCCTGAGGGAGGGTGTAATAAAGATCTTTAACATCGAGTGACAATGCCAAAAGATTCGCGTTTTCTTTGCCTGCAAAAAATTTAGCACTTGTTCCGGTTTTCTTGCCAAAAATGTGTCGTCAAGAGATATCAACTTCAAGTTTGTTTGTAGAAAGACCGCAATGCACTTTTGCCAAGATTCATTCTTCAAGATGATCACTCTGAAAGGGCAATCAACTTTATGCGTTTTCGCCGTGAAAAATATATCAAGATCCACTTTTCTTGTCTTCTCAATCGATTTAACAATGCCTTCAAGATCACGTTATCGGTGACGTGAACCTGCTCGACAAAGCGCCCACAGGTGCTCAAGCGTGGACCAAAGTTCGCCGTCGAGCCGCGCAAATCCAGCCCGAACTGCTAGGGATGGTTCGGAATGTCTCCAAACAAGTACCTGAAGGTGACCTTGACAGGTGTGTATTTGGGGGTGTTGACGTACTCATGCGTGTCCGTCCTCCGGGCGGCAGATTTGCCATTCAGGGGACTATTAGGCACTAGAAGGAAAACTTACTCGCGCTGCTACCGGCCGGCAAAGACGGTGGTTTTGCGGTTATGCGTAAATCGTTGTATCTGGCGAAGGCGCCAGAGGCCATTGATTCTGTATTTGATACTAATAATAATATATCGTTAGAAAAAGTGTGAACTGCTGCAAAAAAGCTATGCAAAAGCTTCAATCTTGAAGGCCTGGTTAAATCGATCGAGAAGACAAGACAAGTGGATCTTGATATATTTTTCACGGCAAGAACGCATAAAGTTGATTGCCCTCTCAGAGTGATAACCTCGGAGAATAAATCCTGGCAAAAGTGCACTGCGGTCTTTCTACAAACAAATTTGAAGTTGATATCTCCTGACGACCAATTTTCGCTGAAAAAGTCGGAACAAGTGCTAGATTTTTTTTGCAGGCAAAGAAAACACGAATCTTTTGGCATTGTCAATCGATGTTAAAGATCTTTATTACACCCTCCGTCAGGCTGAGTTGATGATGTGTGTGTCGGAAGGCATCGACAGAGTAGGAGCTGTTCAATTTCAAAATACTGCCCGTGTGTCGAGTGAACAGTTTTAGAGTTCCTTTATTATTATCTTAACTCGACCTATGTGACGTGGAATGGGAACACAGTGAAACGAAAGAAGGGGATATGTATAGGTTTCTGCGTAGCGCCGTACTAGAGCGACCTGTTTTTAGCAAAGCGTAATAAGGTCCTTTACGTGCGTATGAAGCACACTGATGTGAATGCTGTTTTTAGATTTGTAGAAGACTATCTGATCATTGCCAATAATGATCATAACAATTCTGACGCGGTGGTGACAGAAACTTTAACCATGTTCTTGACAGTGTTATCTCCCTTGGTGCTGACGCATGAAGTACCAATTGACCATTTCATCAGATTCCTTGACCTCGGGCTGTATTTTTCGCCAGCAGAAGTATGCTGGAGCTATGAACTGCGAGGAAATAAACCGGTTCTTCCGTTCACACCCGCTCACTCAAAATTGATAAAGCGTACAATGATAAATTCCTGTTTTCAAAACTCACTGGTGAAGTCGTGCCACCACAAGCTTGATGCAAGCTTGTGGGCTTAAGCTAAACATTTATTGGATACTGGTTATCCCATGCGCCTGTTAACCGCCGTCGCCGAAAATATAAGAAAGAAAGAAAGGGCAGATGTTCGAGACCAGGCAGCCACTAAGGCTGCCTGGCAACCTTGGCCACTAACCTTGGCCACTAACCTTGACCTTAACCAGCAACCTTGGCCACTAAGGCAGCCAAGGTTGCTGTGGTGCCTTACATGCATTACATTTTGCATAACTTGCGAAGGATAGCGAGAAAGGCGGGTGCGGATGTAGTGTTTTCTGCTCCTGAGCGGTTGCAAAGAATGTGCAAAAAAGTTAATGCAGACAGCTGCGGGAAACGGGAGTGTAAAATTAGGCCCCGGGAAAAATTAATGAATTGTTGTCGTAGTGTTGTTCATGGCACTCCTTTGACTTGTTATTGCGTGTACATTGGCCAATCTGGAAGGTGTGTGAAAGAAAAACTTAGGAAACACAAGTACAACGCAGAAAAAGCTGTATCTGGTCATTTGGCCCTTCATCGTCGGAGATGTGGTTGTGTCCCCGGGTTTCAAAACACCCGTATTCTTTTTAGGACCATGACAGAACTACGCATGAAATCATTGAAGCCCCTGAAACTGACAATATGAAAGAAAAAAAAATTGTGTGAGTGTGGCTTCAATAGCTTTGTCAGCTAAAGAAAAGAAGAATCTGGAATCTTGACTTTGACGTTGGCAAGTGCGGATTGTCGCAATCGATAATGACGATTGCATGAGGCGAGCTGTATCTTAACATGATGTGTTCCAGGTTTTATCGATCTAATGTTACTGTATAAATAGCAGGTGTGATCGCAAATAAAACATTAGTTGCATGTTAGCGCTATGTGTGTGTGTGCGACTGTTTATTCTTGTCTCTGTCGTGGTGCACTATGCCCTTATAAATTCTAAATATATTTTTTTCAGTCATACTCTTAGCTTTGTGACAATACTTTCACCCTTGATGCAGAAGAAAGCAAACCTTTTGACAAATTACAAACTTGTATATAATACGTACCGCTGAAACCAGTCCTTCGGACCACTGGCCGTCAGCTGAACTGCATGGTAACCGCTCACCCAGCTGAAACAGCGATAATGAAATTTGTGAAAATCTACCACGGCTCATGTGTCGCTATAGGGATTGGCAGGATTTTAAATGCAAAGCGCTTTTTAGTAAACTTAAGTGACTTTAAATGCATGTGTCTGTCTATCTAGCTAGCTATAGCCACCAACGACTTGTGCTCTCCAGACCATATCGTCAATGAAATTTATACTACGATTCGTACGGCATAACATGCAAAACATGAATCACCCGTCATATCATGAAAATCATGACTGTTTTGTCATAAATGGTATGGTTCACACTCTATGCCCGTGGTGCTCCAGCGGCTGTTTCCTTAACTTGATATAGTATCCCAAAATTGGTACGATGAGACATATTTGCATGACTAACATAAATAACAGGTGGTAATCTGAAAATCATGATGTCCATGTCACATACAATATAATCTACATGCCAGGCTCGTGGTGCACTGATGGCCATTATACTAACTTCCTATACATTAAATGTGGTATTGCATGATGTGACTGTATGATAAACATAAATGACAGGTCGCAAATATCATGTAAAGATCTTAACATGATAATAAAGTGCACTAAAAGACAATAATGCTGCCATGGCCTCTAGATGTTACGCACAACACAAGAGCGAAAGGAGGACACAAAATACTTATGAGAAAAACAAGCAATCATGAAAAACCCCCAAGTAGCGAATACATAAAAACTAGGCTACAAAGGTACCTGACACACCATATACACTACCTAAAAGGATAGTAGTTACAGTACATGTGCAAGGCTTGACGTGGTGGCCGCTCCAGAGGGGAGTTGTAGAGGTTGTCGCATCTATGAAGTCAATCACACCAGGAATGCACGACCGTTAGCTACACCGTCAGGTCCCTGCAGTATCACGTGACCACAGCGTCGGGTCCCCGCAGCGGTTGTACCGCTCATCCTTGTGATGTTCACTATAAGGAGTGAAGCCGTAGGACATCTTTTACATCCTCTCAAGGATGACGTTGCTTGGCCGAGCTCTTTTCCTGGTCGCACCTCTCAGCTCAATCAGGGATGTTGCTGAGAAGGCAGGGGTCATGAGCTCTGCTGGCGGATTTCCGTCTGTGGTGTCGGGCACTTCATGTCTTAAATTCAAAAATACTAACCTTGAAGTCACGGACCTCCAATTAGTTTCATTTTCTTGAGATGTATTGCATTGCGCCACACAACCGATTTAGTGTGTAACCATTGCAACGCGCTGACGCGCACCCTCTAAATAAACAGTCCCTTTCCCATTGTCAGTCTAGCGTGACGCTCCTTACACCACTCCGGTGCTATTGCGCCCATTGTGTCCATAAGATGGTGCATTCGGCGGTGACACAACACTGTTGAATTCCATGCTGCTGACACCGCACATCTGCCTCTTGCGGTTCCAAGCCCTCTCTTTTCGTCCTCTTTTGTGTTCTTTTTTTTTCTGGTTCAGTGTGCGATCTCATGCTTTCTTTATTTCCTCGGTTGATATTGTTTTTTTTTCTCGTTACTTCTCCCTCTTCTACCACCAGGTGACGTGCTCATGACAAATGCCAGAGACAACATTGGCAGAAAAAGAGGGTTCCACACTCACCGTAATGGCAACATGTAGTGCTGACTGACGCTCCTGTGTTTAAATGCACATATACACCCTATAATGTGGATGGGGGGATGACCGCCAACGTAGCTCAGTGGTAGAGCATCAGACGCTGCATTAGAAATTCGCAGGTGGAATTATTGTCAGTTAGTTCCCCTTAATATTGTGTCTAACAAGGAAAATGAGCCCTTAAATTTAAACAGGTCTTAACAGGTGAATCATGATATGTGTGTTATGTATAGCACAGTTTGCTTCTTGCTGGCTGCTTCCCATTACAATATATCACCAATGCGTCAGATCTGCTGGTATATATATATATATATATATATATATATATATATATATATATATATATATATATATATATATATATATATATATATATATATATATATATATATATATATATATATATATATGTATGTATATATATATATGTATCAGCCTGACTATGTCTACTACTGGCCTCTCCCATGTTCTACCAGTCAACCCGGTCCTGTGCTTACTGTTGCCACTTTATAGCCGCAAACTTCCTCATCTCATCTGCTCACCCAACACTCTGTCTCCCCATAAACCGCTTGCCTTCTCTGGGAATCCAGTCAGCTACCCTAATGACTAGCAGTTATCCTATCCTGCTTATGCACTACGTGTCCGGCCCATGTCCATTTATTATTGGCTTTGAGTTTCTCCCCTGACCCACTCTGCTCTCTTTTTGTCTCTTAAGGTTACAACTATTTTTCTTTCCATCGCTCGCTGCGCCGTCCTCAATTTAAGCTGAACCCTCTCTGCAAGCCTCCAGGTTTCTGCTCCGTAGGTACGTACCAGCAAGATGCAGCTATTATATACTTTCCTCTTGAGAGATAGTGGCAATCTATCAGTCTTGATTTGAGAATGCTTGCCAAAAGTGCTCCACCCGATTGTGTGTTTGTGTGTGTATATATATATATATGTACTGTAGAGGAGAGAAAAGAGACAGCACCCTTGCTAGGGGGCGGCTGTTTTTATTCTGACTTTGTTCTCTTTCTCCCAGGCTAGCTGAGCTCGCGTGTAAGCGCGAACTTCCAACTCTTGCTTATTGAGTACCCCTTACAACACAGTATATAGCTCATTCCACGTAATGCCACACACATGACAAAACCGTAAATGCGTGGCACAGCACACGCTGCCAAGAAAACCTAGTTGTGATCTGATCTTAAATTAACAATCCCATATCAATGCTTCACAGCAAACACTCCAGAAAATTGAGCTCTTTTTGAGATAAGGCCAGAGACTGTGTACTCACACATAGCTTGGAACATTTTGCGATACCGTTTGCCTCAACTTTCCCGTGTCAACTGGTCACAGACTGCAGCCCAAGATGACACACTGGTCAAAAAATGGAGTGCATCCACATGTCTTGCAATGCATAGCCAGGAAACCACCAGAAGAAATTTTGTTTTTTACATTGCAAGAGTGCTTGTGCAAGCGGTCATTAACACACCTACCAGTATGTCCTATGTAAACCGCGCCACACGACAGCAGGAACATGTAGACAACAGCTAAGGCGCATTCAACAAACTTAGTTACATGCTTCTTCCCACTGGTGGATTGCACGTCCTTCTTGGGGTTCGTAAGCTTACGTAGATGATTTAGTTTTTCTGTGGCAGAGAACACTACGCGACATTTCCTCTCAGGGCTATCTTTTTCAAATAGTGTGAAATTTGATGTACGTATGGTATGACACTGGTTTTCCTAGCATCACGCTCACCATTTGCCTGCAGCCATCCCCGCATACACAGATCATGCAACAGACAATCAGCTACTGACACTTGCACCAACACTGGGTAGCCAGCCAAGAATAATCGCTTGCTCTGTCTTGCAAAACTAGCGGCCATAGTGTGAAGGCGTGCCTTCAACAGGGCATTTCTAAGACGTAACCTGGCAATCCCTTGCTTTATTAGCTTTGAAATCGCCGAATTGTACTGCAAAAGAGGCTTTTGCGACCGCGGTTCATAGCACCAGCAAGTGTGTTCAAACAAACAAGAAAGACGAAAATCAAGAAAGCGAATGGTGCCTTCTTGCGGTATTTTGCACGTCACTTTAAGTGGTACAAGACACTCCTTAATTATTGGCAGGATTTCTGCGATCTGCACCTAAATGTCAACTGAAGTATACTCGTTCCCATACTTTGTATGTGGACGATTTCTTGTTTTTTATTGAGTATACTTCAGTTGATATTGAGCAGTACTGTCGCCAAGTACTGCTGATACTCAGCAGTACTTGGCAACATTGAGTAGGTGACTGCTCTAGAAGCTGAGGAATTGTCTCCAGCAGGTTGGCCAGCACGGCGGTGGATGCAATAGGTTCTTCAAGTGCCTGCACCGAAGGCATGCCAAGCACAACAAGAACTGGCATCTGCGCGTGTTCCTGCTACGGCAAAGTTGGATTTCGTTACTCCATTTACGCTTCCTGAGTAGTGGTCTCAGCCACCACTAGCGATGCTACGGCGCCGGGTACAGGCGCAGAAAGGAAACATGCAGCGGAGCGCAGCCTATGCTTTGGACGTCTTCTATAGGTAGCTACATAACCTCTCCATTTTGGGGCTCGAGAATGCTGACGAGCTATCTAGACAGTGCACTGCAAGAACTCGATCTCCGACAGAAAGCTGAGTCTTGGACATTTGTGTTGCACCATCGAGGTAATGTTCCTCGCAGCTCACACGAGGGTTTTGGTCAGGAGGAAAGTGGTCACAAGCATTGTGAAGTGGGTGAAAAACACTCGTCAATCTCGCACACCACTCTGTATAGGACGCTTGCATAACCTCTTCGTAGGCATGCCACCCCTTTGCTACATCTTGAAGGTGGTCGATGACCACAAGCCATTTGTGATTTTCCGTCTAGGCATGGAGGGTGTCGAGCGAGTTTATGGTTGTAACCCACTCAAAGACAATATCCTGTAGGCCGCGAAACACTGGCACTGTCCAAGCAGCGGACAGGAGTAAACCGGCAGGCAAGCACTCAAAGTTTGATTAAGCCAAACGGTTGAGCTGCTGCGATGATTGCGTGGGTACATGCCAGTGCTCTGCATCGGTGTCATGTGAGGCTCCCAAAGAGCCCTGGGCGCTGTTTGCGCGTATAACCGTGGTGGCTCCGGTACTCACAAGGGCGTCAGACGATGAGCAGTAAGGAGAGGCCAAGCTGCGCAGTTGTTGCGACAGGCGCGTGGCGGTGCGAGTGATCTGCGCTGCTTTGTCAAATGAGCCACCCTAGGAGCCCTTGGCGGCGATCGCGGAATATGTGGTCGTCGCACCACTCAGTGCCGCGGTGACGTCCTCGATTGTGGGAGCGGTGTATGCCGCAGTCCCGGAACTCACAGTGGTGAGATCCATGGCAAAAGGCACGTGGACGACGTCCTTTGTCGTAAAG